TCTGATTCGAACGCCCGGTTGGATTCCAGGAAAGAAACCACTCTTTCCGCGGCTTCCTGCGCGATTCATTCGATAAACATTCCACTAAGTGAGGAGGAGTGACGTGCGTGCACGTAACTGAAAATTCGCAACGCAATTTCGTCGCAAATTCGAGCGAAGTACAGTTGCGCGCATGGTGGTCTTTCGTGACTCGAGGGAAGGCAATTACCGAGCACGGTAGACTCTGTAATGAAAAAAGAGCTAATCGAATAAAGAAAACGAAGTCTCAAACATCCATAATTGCAAAATTTACAAATGTTAAGATTTTCAAATTTTCAAAATTCACAAAGTAGACATGAAAAACTCGAGTATTACATGTAACGAAGGGTAGGTTTTCTATGTTTCCATTTTGCCTAGAAGAAGTACAACAGTAATTAGTCCGGCTATACGAGCGCTCGATCAATGCTTGATTCCCACCGAATCTTCTCTCTTTTCTTCCCTGCCGACTCGTAAATCTATATTGTGGCGAGTGAGGTGTAATTCAGCTTGTCAACGCGCAGACAAGATAATTAAAGTTATTAACCCCGTTTCGTAATTTCGTGATTAATCGTCGGACTCGCTTAACCCTGTTATCTTGCACTTGGCTGCGCGCGAAACGAGTGCATCTTAATAAAACGTTTCAATGGTAAAGAAAGCGATCTTGTTTCTGTATTCAGCATTAAATACTAGTATCATTAACCACTTCGTATCTACTGTTCATCAATGGAACATTTACTGTAACGAGGACATAAAAAGTTAGCAACCTTTCGATCATTAGAATAGAAAGAATAGTTGTTATCATTGAAGGGTTGAACACGCGGAGGCGTTCGTGTTCCTATAAAGTTACTGTACGAAAGAGTGTGTGAAAGATACGAACCCGTTTTTCCTAAAATCGTGACTTCTGCGTTATGTCATTACCAGCAAACGAGCGATATGTCTGCGATCGATTTGGATCGATTGGACGGGACTTGCGCCACGTAACGTTCTCGCCTTGGAGAAACCGGAGGTTGAGTAGGCAGTCGCCTCTGGACAAGCACGATCCGCGAACGAGAAAAAGAGAAAGAGATCGTTTTGCTAGATCTCGACCTCGCTGGACCACGGAGCTGAAAAGGAAACGGTCAGGACGGAAGCTGCGCGTCAGTCCTTGCCAGAAATAGAGCGAACACATCGTCGTTTGCTCGGTCCTGATCGGAATATGTAATCGCAAGGAAACCAGAACGACGATCTAATTCGCGCGCCACGGTTAACACGTTTGCCCTTGCCGTGGAAAATGCTCGCGTGACTCAGGATCCCCGGGCGAAACGCGTCACAGAGGCTTCCGAGAAACGATCCAAGTTCGAGGGTTCCAGTCGAACGGAGGCTGCGACCGTCAAACGTAGAACAAGGTTACCAGCTAACAGACGAAACCGTCGAACGTCAGAAAAAGCGTTTCTTGAGCATACATCGACGTTTCGTGGGCAACGTGTCACGATTCGATGGTCAGGATGACGCGAGCCCAGAAGAAGACAGACAGGCATTCGGGCTGGTGCATCGGTTACTTAATGAGATTTGGCGTGCTCGAGCGATGAGTCGACTCTCCAAATGGAGAACCTCGGGTAGTATAACCCCATGCGTAGAAACGACGTACTAAATATTCTTCGTATCTCGAGTTAAGGATATACGAGCGTTTAAAGCAGTTATGGACGCTGGCACTCATAATTGGATGGACTTGGTAGTCCGTCGTATGCAATTATTATTAACAACATCGCTGCTATGATACTGATTTGTGTTTAACATCCACATATTTGTTAATATGTACGTTTTGAATTCTCAAATTTATAATTTCTACTTATATCGATGAAATACATTTCCACGATCCTCCAGAGGTAGATCCAGTCCAGCAGGGTTAGGGGAAGTCCATTGCGGATGTCGTTTGGAATAACCATAACATTTTTCTACGTAACTCGTTCTAACCGCTCATGCGACTCCGAGTAAATGTGGAAATTACATGCGTGGAGCATCGATTGACTTTACGGTTGGAAACACGTGACGTTCCATCGTATTAAGACGTAAATCCAGGTACATTAAGACGGCACGCGATCGGCAGCTACTTCTCGTGACCCGGATTCGAAGTCGTGATTCCACTCGTAATGGGACACCTTATCGTGATACGTTTGCTTGTCGGGATTACCTGCTGCTTGGGAATCCGCCTCCAACGCGTGCATCGCGTACCTGCATCGGCGATTATGAAACGACGCTAATGCCCCGACGATCGCTGACGATAATCTCTCTTAACCAAGAGGAATAAACTGTGGCTAACTCGGCACCGATACGGTTCTCGATACCACGGAGATCGATGTTTTCAGAAAGTTCCTACCCTGCCGGGCAATTCCCCGTATCACCACTTCGAGTGTTTGAAACGAGTTCTTTTCGTTAAAACTTTGAAACGCGACGAAGTAAACAAAGAGAACGAGCGGTTTCCGAAGAAGCTGACGCGTCCGGTTGCCACCCTCCATCTTATCCAATAAAACATCCGCGAGCGAGATTAAAAGAAGAAAAAAGAGCGCGACGCAGCGGGACCCTCCTACTGCTGTACCTACGCATACCTGCACGAAAACGAGGAACAGGTTTGCGTCGAGGAGGATCCGGCGTCATTCCGATACCCACGTAAAAAGACGAGCCGAACGTCGGGGCTAGCGTGAACTCAGAAAAACGCACGGGAGGTAAATGGGAAAACTAGTCGAATCGAAACTCAAGATGACTCGGGAGGATAAGCCGGGTATCGAACTCTGCTAGGCGCAGAAAGCGTATCCGAGAGCCGACTGCATCGAAACGCGTCTCTTGCGGCGAGAATCTTCGCAAATTCCGGTCGAAAGCGAGTCGAGCTAGTTCCTAACCCTAATTCGGCTAATTTAATTTGCATAGACATTCGATATCCACAACGATGTATAAATTTGAAAAGATATTCTGAACTATTTGAAAGCTTTATGGGAGTATAAATAACTGGGCGTGAGAGTTCATGACACTCGCCGGATAGGATATGGTCATATCGTTCCATTCTATAACCTCCATATTGATATAGATACACATCGATACGAGGACAAATCGCACCCCGTTGCGCCAGTGAACGATACGGCAATCCAATATACTCGCAACAAGTGTATACCCACCTTTATTACAAATCGAAAGGATCGTTTTTCGTCCAACGATAAAAAGATATACGCACGACAGGAAACTGGAGCCGAGTACCGGACAAGATCGAGTCGATCTCGACTGCAACGAGACTTGTAGAAAAACGAGCCAGATAAGCCTCGACAGTTTCATCAGCTCTTTTATCCAGGCAGAAATACGGGGCCAGCAACTGGATAGGGTACAAGCTCATGGGTCCCTTCCCTTATTCTTTGTCCTTGCGCCTAGGCCCACCACCTCCGTTCCCAGGTCAAACGCGTACACGCGTACACTCCAGAGCATTGGCTTCCCTTGGAAAAATGATGACGTAGGAAGACGTATTATGGACTCTTGGAAAATTTAGGAAACCGAGGATTCGGAAAATGGATGATCTGAGGATGTCGAATTAAGAATTTGAGATATTAGGAATTTGGAGATTTAGAGATGTCGGAATTTAGGAATGTCGGAGTCTCAAGCTTAAATGTGGAATTTGCAAACTTGGAAATGGGGGATCAAAAATTTGTTGAGCAGTAATTTGGAGTTTAGAGTCGAAGTGGGGGTTAGCTGCCCTTGCAGAGTCGCTTATGCAAAGGAAGCGTGCGTTGCGGCGGACTATACATCCGGGGAGGTAGAAAAAAAGCTGCGATCCTCTCGGCGGTGTGCGTTCGATGGTGGATAGCCGCGTGCAGGATCGACGTGCCGTGAGCGGGCTCGCTGTGGTCTCGTAGGGTGGGAGATACGAAGGTATAAAACCAGAATCTTCGCAAATTCCGGTCGAAAGCGAGTCGAGCTAGTTCCTAACCCTAATTCGGCTAATTTAATTTGCATAGACATTCGATATCCACAACGATGTATAAATTTGAAAAGATATTCTGAACTATTTGAAAGCTTTATGGGAGTATAAATAACTGGGCGTGAGAGTTCATGACACTCGCCGGATAGGATATGGTCATATCGTTCCATTCTATAACCTCCATATTGATATAGATACACATCGATACGAGGACAAATCGCACCCCGTTGCGCCAGTGAACGATACGGCAATCCAATATACTCGCAACAAGTGTATACCCACCTTTATTACAAATCGAAAGGATCGTTTTTCGTCCAACGATAAAAAGATATACGCACGACAGGAAACTGGAGCCGAGTACCGGACAAGATCGAGTCGATCTCGACTGCAACGAGACTTGTAGAAAAACGAGCCAGATAAGCCTCGACAGTTTCATCAGCTCTTTTATCCAGGCAGAAATACGGGGCCAGCAACTGGATAGGGTACAAGCTCATGGGTCCCTTCCCTTATTCTTTGTCCTTGCGCCTAGGCCCACCACCTCCGTTCCCAGGTCAAACGCGTACACGCGTACACTCCAGAGCATTGGCTTCCCTTGGAAAAATGATGACGTAGGAAGACGTATTATGGACTCTTGGAAAATTTAGGAAACCGAGGATTCGGAAAATGGATGATCTGAGGATGTCGAATTAAGAATTTGAGATATTAGGAATTTGGAGATTTAGAGATGTCGGAATTTAGGAATGTCGGAGTCTCAAGCTTAAATGTGGAATTTGCAAACTTGGAAATGGGGGATCAAAAATTTGTTGAGCAGTAATTTGGAGTTTAGAGTCGAAGTGGGGGTTAGCTGCCCTTGCAGAGTCGCTTATGCAAAGGAAGCGTGCGTTGCGGCGGACTATACATCCGGGGAGGTAGAAAAAAAGCTGCGATCCTCTCGGCGGTGTGCGTTCGATGGTGGATAGCCGCGTGCAGGATCGACGTGCCGTGAGCGGGCTCGCTGTGGTCTCGTAGGGTGGGAGATACGAAGGTATAAAACCGATCTGGTCGTCCGCTGGCAGCCAGTCCAAAGGCCAGATGTGACGGCGGCTCTAGTCGCACGCGTGCGAGAGAGACGATCACGACACGACACGGCGCGAGGTACTCCCGCGTTCCAGCAAAAACGCCCAGGACGCGCGTATCGACCACCTCTCTCTTTCGATATCGTACATGGTTTCGCACACCGATCGCACCCATTAGATCCGTTTTCCCGTTCTCTCTTGTGAATTCGTGCTCGCGAGGAAGCTTCGTCCAGAGGTAGTCGAGCATCGGCGACCAGGAGGCGCGTTCGTCCTGCTCGAAGGAGAGAAAGGACGACGAACTCGGTCGCAGGACGTCGGGAACCTTTCCCTGGAATACTCGGTTGGTCCTCGGTGATTAATCGTCGCACGAAGCACGAGAAAAGGGGTGATCGCGGTGCCTTTCTTGTGGAATACGTGCTCGTCTCGAAATCACCAGCCAGTTGACGGGAGTGGTGGTAACGAGGGAAGGAAGTGGAGCTCCTAGGTGCAATTTCGTTTAGAGATCTAGGAGATTGACCTTCGATTCGCTCGAAGGGAGTGTATTTTGTTGTCTCGGAGTGGTTACGAAGAAAGGAGACACCCCCCACGAAACATGTCCGGAATCCAAATCAACGTGGAAGAAGTGCCCAACGAAGAACGCGAGGATTCCGTTCGAAACGTAAGTCAGCCAAGATGGCAGGTGACGATTTATGCGCCGAGAGACGAGCTTCTGTAGCCGCCAGCGTTTTCAGATACTCGTCCTAAGCCACGCTGTTTCTCTGTCGACGTCTGCTTTCTATTCGTTCCTTCCGCGATCGGGGAAGGCTTAATTCCGTAGCTCGACGAGATTTAATCGGTCGGTTACAAAACGCTCTGCGATCGGTCGCGACTTTCACGGTACTCGCTGCCGATCGACGCTAACGCTCTTTTGGCGGGAAACACGTGGACAAATTCATAAATTTTTACATTCTCAAACTCTCGAATATTCGAATCCTTTGAATACTCGAACTTCGATACTCGACTCGTTGAATAGATCGAGGGAATTCCAAATGGGAGGCGGAAAATTCGCGTCTGGAGAACGCCGGTCGTAAAATCTGTCAGTCGATGTTGCGTTTCTAACGACCAACGGTAATTCGAGATTACGTAAAACGTGTCGGTAAAATTTGAGAAAGTTCGCGGAAAAATTTTACGATGTTATTCAACAGGAACTAGATCCCGCAAAATTGACCGAATCACCGATAATTATACAAAGTTGGTTGTCCAGCAAATATAAAAATTGTATCTACATTTGTAAGCTAGCACTGTTTAAAAAACGTCAACAAACGAGAATATGTAATTAATTTCCTAGCAGCCACTGTTTAAATTATTCATTCAGTGGTCAGTCAATAACAAAATCAAACAACGATGATTTTAATTTTCGCTTATTGTACACCGCACCGCGAAGCGGTTCAACGATCGAACGATTACCACAAACGATTCGTAACTCGAAGCAGCCTCGATAATCGAAGTAAAAGGCGTCGAATGCTTTAGGTTCACGGGCAAGCCGCGTGTGTAACGCACCGTTCACCGCGAATACTTAATAAGCTTGACACCCATCCACTCGGGTTTATGTAATGCAGAAGCGAGCCTCCGCAACGATGACAACGGCGTTAGTTGGGAAACGAAGGACATTATTGTTCCCAGATAGAAAAATAACGCCGGATGCGCGACGAATTCGCGTACGAATCGCAATTACGCAATTACGAATAGTACGATGAATGCGTGGGAAAATCGTTTGCGATTTTCCACGAGACCGGGAACTGGCAGCATCGCATTATAAATCATCGATGAGCAGCTCAGATGCTCGTTGAGCTGCAGAGCTTGTTGCGTTCAATTATATGTAGAAAAGAAACAATTTTCAAATCCCCAAATTTCAGATTTGACAAGTTCTGCGAATTCAGAAAATGGAAAAAACGATGACGATCGACAGACTTGCAATCAGGCTTGTTTTCCCATGATTTAAGAAACTCCTGAATTTCAAATAGCATTGCTAACGAACGTGTGATTATTAGAAGAAAAAAAAGAACCGTCAAACAACGAGACGAGTGGGCGTCACGTAATAAAAGTAAACTAGACTTCAAGCTGAAAAACGATTTCCATAATTCCGTAGCTGCGGCTCGAGGAGCCGGTAACCAGCCACCTGTAGGCCGTTTCTCACATTCGAGTTTCATAATTCCTTCGTGCTCTGTCGTTTACGAGCCTGACCGAAGGTAGCCACTCGAGAGGAACGAGATAGGAACCCTGACCAAGCTACAAAATTCTATTCGGAATATGTTGCTATCTGGACTCTGTGGAGTAGATTTATCAATTGTAAAATATGTTGGAAGTTTTTCAAATTCTTATACTGACAAATTTCGGAACCTTCAGATTTCTTAAATTTGTTTAATCTCAAGTTCCCAGATTTCTCAAATCTTCTCAAACTCTAAAATTTCTAAATCTTCAAATCCTCAGATTCTTATATTTTCTAAATATCTCAGGTAGATTCCTAAATTCTTACATTTGCCAAATTTCTCAAATGTTCCGATCCTAAAATTGACCCAGGATCAACGAGTGGTCCTGCACCGCCATTATCCCTAAGAAACCTATCCGACCAGTGTAGAAGCTACCAAATTGAAATTATCAATGAAACTACGAATCTGAAAGCGAAAGGTCGTGAGTATTCGTTTTCGGAAACACGTATCCTTGCTCGTCGAGCAGATACCGATCGCTATTCGACGTGTCCGCGTGCATTCCATCGGCGTATATCTCGCAGTCTGCAGTCGCCAATGAAACAAGAACGATTCGCAGCGTCGCGTCGATCGGTCTCTCGTTATCGATCATTTGCATGACAACGCGCAACGGGGCGTTTCGCGGGATCGTTCGCGAGAACCTACAATTTAGAACGCGTACGGGCCATTTCATCATTCGACCGGCGATTATCGCGCTCCAGAGCCGTGTGCACCAGAACTTCAGGGCTGAAATGTCGAGCGGAGAGCAACGTGCCGTGTCCCGTTTGCAGGATTAGTCATGCACGACGCAATCTTGCCACAGAGAATGCCAGCTGAAAGCTGGACATGTGATTGAAACGCTTGTTAACGAGTTTCGAATAGATGACGCACAAGGTGCGTCCACACATGTCCACACGGTATGAAGTTTCAGACGGTGATTGCTTGAAGCCAACGATTCTGAGTGTCTCGAAGAACTTGGATAGTAATAATTTAGGAAGAAGTTTAATCATTTTATAAATTCAAATCATCACATAATACTATATGACGCTCCTTGTGCGTCCACACATGTCGACATGGTATGAAGTTTCAGACGGTGATTGCTTGAAGTCAACGATTCTGAGCGTCTCGAAGAACTTGGATATACGTAATAATTTAGAAAGAAGTTTAATCATCTTATAAATTCAAATCATCGTATAATACTATATGACGCTCCTTGTGCGTCCACACATGTCGACACAGTATGAAGTTTCAGGCGGTGATTGCTTGAAGTCAACTATTCTAAGTATCTCAAAGAACTTGTAGAATATTATAAATTGCAAAGTAGTATCAAATTATGATTTTATTCAGAGACCATCCCTTACATCTCCTTTAGAAGAAAAAATTATAATTGCCATCGACGAAAGGTTTTTACTATGAATCCAGTCTCGAGTCATTAAGTGTCGAGTCTCCTAGCAATGAATCCAGTCTAGCACTCGTTCGTGCGAGATTTATTGATAAAAATAGAGAAGAAGTTTCCAACAGAGGTATCCCATTAGAATCGATCGCTTTACAACTGTGACAACCTTCGATAAATCTGGCCGTCGATCAGCGTAGCCTTCGCATGCCAATAGCGGCATTAAAATAATCGACGATACGTTTTCGCGCCGTCGAATTTTAATTCCAACGAAACTCCTTTTATCACGCGACCGCGATTTATGATTCCCGGCATCGTCGAACGAGCTTGCGTCAGTGTCCTCGCGAGAAAGTATAGCGATCGGACAAAATTCCTGGGGTGTCGTCCAAACGTCCCTGACGGATTAGTGTACTAATTAATCAGTGTGCGAAAACAATTCTCAGTCGTTGACCTTAAAGGAGAAGAGCATCAACGGGGACAAAATAACTCCAAGATTTCACTCGGCTACCTTGACACCTGGAATCATCGTTTATTTCTTTTTTTACCCACTTCGAAGATCGTTTTGGAAATTACTATCAGAACGGAGAAAGGACAAATTCTGGTGGACGAGATCGGTTCGGACAAACAAGGATCCACTGGAGAAAAGGTGGTTCTGTTTCAGACAGAATCAGAGAAATCGATTTTGCAATATCGAGTGCTTTCTCTTGTTGCATGCAAATACTGCCCCGGGGTACGAATTCATGAGATCGAGAGATTGATTCGTGTAACACCTATTGGGCTAACGTATCGTCGTCGAGGAACAGGTGTTCTTGTTTATTTCAACAGGAAGGAAACTATAAAGGATTGGTAACTTTGAAGGACGTTAGAAACGAGTACATTAACATAACAGTGTGGACTTGGCCCTCATAAAATACAGACCCTAAATTTTCGAATTCTTAAACTCCAACTTCTGATATTTCCGGCTGTCAATTCAGAATGACAAAAACTTGCCACATAAAAGTAGCTCGGAAACGATTTCGAGATCTAAACGAAGCGAACGAAACCAATCGATAATAGAGAACGAAAGAACACCGAAAAGGAGCCAGGTACCGGTAATTACATAATTCGCTGTTAAAAGCCTGCGCGATTTCGTTAGGTTACGTGATAGAAAACGACGCGTGTGGAACTTTCGTTCCATGATCTAACCTGCTGTGACATTTTTCTAATACATCCCCGTAATCCTGATGCCACCGCAACTTTCCATAATTCATCATCGAGTCTGTTCTCGGAGGTTTACTTTCAAGAAGAATGTCTAGTTATCGCAGGCGTTGCGATATTCCTGTAACGCGAGTCATCTGTGCAAGGATTATGACGCGTCTACTCGAGTTGACAGCGAGTTAAAGGCTCGAAGAATGCCGGGGAAGGAAAAGGACGGAGAAGAAGAGAGATAACGAGAAAGGCAAACGCCGCAAACAGAACACGGAGCTGGCACGCGAGTCGGAGCGGCCAGTGTGTCGCAATTTCAGAGCGCCAGCTTACTCTTTATTTACGTTGTAAATGCAAATCGGAATCGGTGCTTTCAAAACGACCTAGAGAAGGTTCGAATTCGCCGACAGGTTCCTGGCGATCGTGACATTTTGCTTCGACGACGAAGGATCGGCTGATCAAATCGAAACGGTGGCTAGATAGATAACCGATACACTATTGTTTAATACTTTCACGAACGATCTGATGTTTCAAGTGCGTACACTGAACCATCAACGATTTATATGGAATTCTAACATTTGATTTTTACTGTCAGACATTTCAGTGCATTTAAGAAATTCCAAGGTAAATGTCACGTCAAGGTCGTCAAGGTGAAAGTAATTTAGATGTTCGATTGCACCGAGAAAATATTGATTATCTCCATTAATTTCGTTGCATATTCGAGATCAAGTATTTTCGGTGCCGAATTGTTCGAATGTCATCAATATCGGTCCGATCGCTAACAACGACGAGTACCGTGCTGTCGCGATCGTCGAGCGTAAATAATTTCCGAACAGAATTGCCCCGGCGTTATGA